CGTGTATTTAAAAAAAAAAATACTTATATTGTAGTAATTAAACAAAAGGGGAAGTAAATGTATACAAATTGACAATTACGTTTGAAAGATAAAATACCTAGGCCACATGAAGTTCTAAATACAAAGCTCGGTAAAACAATATTTCAAATGAATAATGCCAATTTCAAATGTACTATTTTTACGTATTTTTAAAAAACCGACCAATGTACCTCAAAGATTATTAGATCACTCAAATGTTTAAAAAATAATTTGCAATCTAACAACCACCGACTAACTATTCTCGTACATTTAAAATGACTATTAATTAAAACAAACTAATAGAGAAAGATTCGATATAACAATGACTCTTATTATTAAAATAATGGCAGATCATTTTTAATGATAAATTTTCGCTTACCTTTGTGTAAAGTACATGATGTAAAAAAATGCTTCAGAAACAACGAATGCTACACAAATGAAATACGTTTACAGAACATTTGTTATGCAAGCCGTTTAGTCGTAGAAACGATGATAAATATACTTTAATTTCGTTTAAATAAAAATTGAAACCATCAGAGCGTTCGAAATGTTCTTTCTCTTAACGATTACGACATATTGCTACTCTATCCCAAATTTTGTAACATTTGATAAGGACATATCAATTTTATCCAAGATATATAAGTGTAATAAATGATGGACCTAGTCGAATTTTATGCAGAAACGTTCTTCTTTTCAGAATCCGTGTTAACAATGTTTGTAGCTTCACTTTTAGTTGGATTGGCAGACGCACCAGAATCTGATGTTTGTGAATTCGCTAGAACCCATATATAGGTATCTGTCATTTGTACGAGATTGACTGGAGACTCTTGAGCATCTTTACATAAATTCACGACAGTGTTGCTCGCAGAACGTTCCAACTCCGGTAACTCGCCTAATATTGAACCGTAAAATTTGCTACTTTCTTTTTCTTTCATTGGTCACTAATCCTTTCACTGCTAATCACTATAATCATTTAACGAATTATGTAGGCATTAACGAACAACGAATTACGTTCAACTGCAGTGGAAGGATTAAAAATAATATTTAAATAATAAGTAATATTTAAAATCATTCTTACCATTGATGCTATGAACATCACATGCCCTGAAAACAGTTCTGCTAGGTAGTTCTCTGGCACTTACGCTAACTTCATCATCGTGTACACGAAAAGACTGTTCAGAATCAGAGCTACTACTACTGCTACTGCTGCTACTACTACTATCAATCACATCCTGCCAGAGTCGCCGTCCTCTAATAGGATAGAGATGAGCATTCTGTCGTGAGAATGTTCCACCTTGAGTACCTATCCAAATATTTTCGCGTTTATAGAACACAATTTACGCAATTTAATACAAGTAATATTATAAGTTATATTTCATAATGCATACAAGTAAAGATTTTTTTCATACCTTCAAGACTATCCCGAATCAAAGGTGTCGTATCATCAGTATCCGAATCACTATCGTCAGTATCAACTAG